TAACTACCATTTTGAGAACTCTTTATTCTTTATCCAGGACCATACAGCATCTTTTCTTGCCTTCAGGATTATGTTCCTTGTTATTTTCTATATGCTACATCAGGTGCTATTAAAATATTTCAAGTTTGCATAACTGGGAAATATTTTACTTTTTAGTTTTCAAAGGCATGTTTACTAAGCATAAAATTCAGTAAGGACAGATATTGTTTTTTTCCTTTCAGTCCTTTGAATTAATTGTCTAATTTCTTACACACTTGCTCTTTTTTTTTCTAATGTGGAATAAGATGCTATTTAATTTTGTTCTGCCATAGCTAATATTTGCAGGTTTTGATTGTACTTTATTTCTTCAATAGCACATATTTTACTGGATACACAGCACCTTTACTTGGCAACAATTATGATTTCATTTAGAAGTAATTTAGCTGCAACATATCACCTGGCATGATTACTGGTCTCTCCATTCCTTGGGGGTGACTCTGCCAACAGGGAAAGTGTTCCATTCTATTCCCGTTTGTGTTGCTGTGTAGGTCCATGCCGCAGTGCAGAATGTGGCTCCACCAATTAGTATCGCATCACCCTATTTCTCATGGAGATCAGATGTACATTTGTGGTGGCTCTGCCTTGTTACCATTTGCTGACTGCTTCGAACTGGAAAATGACCTAATGTGTTTTTGGCCAAGGGAAACATCATGGAGTCGAAGTTGAAACTGTAGTTACTGCAGCTCGCTAATATTTTTTATGTGCATGCTTTAGTCATTTTTGTCTTTACAATTAATTTTGGAAAATTTCATTTTTGTGCATCTTGGTATGATTTTATTCACATTTCTTGTGCAAATGATTCATTTTTCTATAAATGTGGTGCTATAATTTCAACTAAATTCAGAAATTTTAAATCTCTAAATATTTATTGCCTATCCCTTTCTACTTTGAGAATTCTATTTATGTAAATATAAGTTTCTTGATTTTGGCACAGACTTAACTGTAAATTTTTTCATCTCTATTATTTTGGACAATTTTTATTGTTATATTCATTTAAGTTTGTAAATTATTTACAATGTGCAATCTATTATCAATCTCATGCTATGTATTCATTTCAGAAATATTTATCTAAACTTTATTGTCTACATCTTATATCTTTCACTGTTCAATATTTGTCTATAATTTTAAT